CTCTATTATGCGCCATTCAGTTGCGACAAGCTGGTGCCCCGTGAGGTCCAGAGTGTGGTGGCATGGGATTCCAGTACGGGGGAACCATGACCAGCCTTGGTGGAATCGTATGGACGACACGGCCTCTGGGACGGTATCGACAGTCCAGGCTACGGCGACAGGGTCCAGGTTCAGCGACACAGCGACAGATACAGTCACGTAACCCGGCCAACTCATCACCGCAGCCCCAGAAGCACATCGGAAGCCACGCGACTCGGAGGGGGCTCTGCGCCACCCCCGGGGACAACGGGTCCCCACACAGACACGCAGCTCCTGCCCACGAGCAAGCGACCTATGCGACGCGTTCAGGGACAGGCAGGGATGGGTCCTGCCGCGGAAAATCGGAGCAATGCCCATTGTGGGATCGGGCGGCTCCGTGCGCACCCATGGGCCGGCGATGGAGGGGTGCAGCCGCACGGTGGTCCCACGTACCCGTGCACGGCTAGCCCCCTTCCGCCGGGGGAAAACTGCCGCCTCCCTGAGGCCTTTCAGTCTGCCCGCGAAGATTTCGGGGCGGGGGTTTCTCGGTCAAGAGCCCCTAGCTCGAATGCCCCGGGCCCGAGCAGTCGGAGCTCGACGGTCCGGGTGGGCAGGGATGATGCGCAAGGCCGCTCGCGATGATTTGGGCCGGTGGGTTTACGGAAGGGGGGCCTCCCGCCGATCTGACCGGAGAAGGTTTGCGGCGGCGCCCTTGTGTGGGAAACGCACCGGCCCGGAAGTCTAGGCGGGGCAGCGAGAGGGATTGAGGGATGGCTGGCTTGGTGGCTCCGTGGATGTGCCCCGCGGATGACTCAGTGGGGGATGCGCGTAGGCGCGATGTGATGAGGGATCGTGGGAATCGATGGCAGAATCGGGCGGTATCGGGCGCTGTCAATTTGGTCTGTATGCAAGGGCACCGTGAGCAGCACGGAAACAGGCCAGTCTGGGTGAGAGTCGCCAGGACGGCCATTATGGGGAAGGAGTGGTCATTAAAGGGAGGTGAAGATAGTATCTTCAAGATACCCAGCAATTGGAAATTTGATTAGGAATCGAATGGTGTTTTAATTTTTTCATTTGATGAAGAAGTGAGCATTTTAGGGGATTTTTTGATGAACGGGAATGGCCACAGGGAACTGGGCTAGTTGGCGGCGCTGGGAAATGACTGATGTGACTGATGATCAGTGGGGGCGTGCGGACTGGGTGTTATGCGATGCATGCATGGAATCCATGCGGGTTCCGACGGTGTGCGTGAGCAGCAGCCCTCCGTGCCGCCAGTTTGCTGTGCAAGATGTCTGGCGCTCCGAGCATCCCTTCGCATGCTCCTTGCCTGGACAAGGTACTGGAGTGGAGGCATGCGCAGGCCTTGCCAGGCCTGAATGAGGTCAAGGACCTCTGCGGACAGTTGGAAGAATTCCAGGTGGCGCGTCTGGCGGCTCCTGAGGTGCATGCATCGGGGTCGAACGGACAGCCCCAGGAGGACACGGCATGGCGGCGGGCGCGAGACCTCCAGAAGGCTTTGTTGGAAGTCTGGGAGGCATCTCTTTCAGACGACCGACATATATACGCTGCGGTCCAGACGGCGGGCATGGAGTTCCAGCTTTCGCTGGACATGTGCAAGATCGCCCCCGCTGTGAGGGCAGAAATTGTGATGCAGTTTGAGACCATGTGTTACATGGGACTCAAGCCAGCCTGGGACGCAGCACGGCGGGATGTGGAGGTCTCCGAGCTGCGGGCGTTGGACAACAAGCCTGTGATTTGGAGGGCGCTTACAAATATTGAGGATGACATTCGGGCAGCGAGGCTGAGGGTCATCGACGAGTTTTTCCACCAGCGTTTGGCGGCAAGCTCAGTGGAGGAAGCGCTGGCGGAGGACAACGAGCTGCGTCGTCTGGATGAAGATCGCTCGTTCGTGATGCGGCTGCCGCCCACACCCCCAAGACAAGATTTTCGTTCGCCTGCCTTGCGAAGGGCCATAGGCGAATGGCATGCCCGCGACATGGACATCAAGGAGAAGTGGAGGTTTGACGCCATACGAGTGGAGATTCAGGGGTGGCTCCAGGGCCACAAGCCCATTCCCGAGTTCGACCGCGAGGAGACGCCCTCCGCTGAGAAGCATGGGTGACGGTGCGGTCGCGGAGCGCGGGACCCAGCGGCCGGGTAGGTTCTCCATTGATGTGACAGGTAGACCCTGACTGGACCGTATATGGGGATCAAGGGAATGCCCAGGGGTTGACGGGAGGACACCTGGGAGATGTTTTTGCGTTGAAAGTGACATATTAAGGGGGAGTAGGATCAGTTGAGTCTGGTGAATTGGACGGTGGGGTGGAGCGTCGGGTCAGAAGGATAGAGAATCGAGATGTGAGGCTGTGGTGAGATCTGGATTTACCCTTGGACCGTTGAGTGAACCTTTTTGGATTTTGTCGTATGAGAGAACATGGGAGATGTATAAGAAGGCGGGGGTGCGCATTGTAGCCGCCCCCGGTCTGTAAGAATTTTCCTCCTTACGACTGGTGCACCACAACAGGCCGCCTCTCGAGTCGAGGGTGGGACCTGGAGGTCGGGCGGGCGGTTTCCTGGAAAGGGATAAGCCCAGCGTCCTGTGTGAATCGATATCCGGTGATATACGACGCGGTGTTACAGTTTCCGCATGTCGTATTCCACTGTGCGTGCCCCGGAGGGTCGTGCTGTCGGTCGGCACCGATCTTTACAACAATCAAAGAAATTTTGGGATCAAGGCAGAGGATGTGTGGGGATGGGGCGTTGAAGGACACGCTGGGAGGAATGCGGGAACGGTTACGAACGAATGAGAGTGGGACGTGTGTAGTTAGCGGGGCAGTTGGAGGGAGCCGCGATAGAAGCAGTAGAGCAAGAGTGAGGGAAATGGATAGCGGGTGGGGAGCCTGGGAACATCGGTGGGCGGACGGGTCCAGGGCGCTGCCCTATATGTTTGGGAATGGGAAATTGGAAGGAATCGGTGTTAGTTGTGGGATCAAAGTGGATGGGGGAGGATCGTGGGATTTAATTCAGGAAGGGCCAAGCCAGAATAGCTCGGGCGGCCGGTGGAATATTTGTTTTAGGTGGCAGCCTTCGAACTGGTTGGACAGCCAGATTCCTTGCAAAGCATATAAGGTAATCCGAGCGTACAAAATAGCACTTCGTGTAACGAGCAATGGGGTTCATGCCAGAGCCACCGACGGCAAAGGCAAGGGGTATCCGACCGTGTGACTGCACCACCGGGCACTCTCCGAGGGGCCGGCCAGCCGTGCTGCAATTCTTTGCTCCGGCTAACAGATGCTTTGGGCGTCTTCACATTCTCAAGACGAGATGATGTCCAAACCGCACCCGCATTTGCTCAAGACATGCCGTTAATTGTCACAAAATCTATCAAAGTAATCTCGACTTGGGGCCATCGCGCAATGTTCTCGCTTCGGAATGTCCTCGCTCTTCGCGTTCCTTGCACTGTGCATTTATCTTCTTGGACTGGTGGAATTGGCATCGTTTTCTCACAGCATGGCGAAGAGCGCCAAGCACGCTTACTTTGAAGATCTGTCTTTTGTGTAGTCTTCTTCCAGTGTAACGAATCTTACCCAACCCATTCCAGCCCACCCACGTCAATTTTGTGTAAAGAACGACAATATCTTGGTGGCGCTACGCCTTGCCGCAAAAGACTCGTGGCATCAAACGACGGCAGACTTGCACGAACCAGACCGACCAAAACTCCCAGATTCACGTGATCTGCCCATTCACCTCCATTTAAGCTTAATGCGTTCAGGCTCGCAGAATTGGCGCCCAACCCTGTCTGGCAGCGCGAATGCAGCACACCAAACTAACGGAGCGCGCAGCCGTGGCGCAGGACACAATCAGCCCGCCAAGGCTCGGCGAGACGCGCTGCAGGGTGGCCAGCACGTTAAATAGGCACTTAACTACAGGACGGCACCAGTCAACAACCTCCACAACTCCCCCTGTAATCGCTGCCGCATCCTGGAAGGTTTCGAAAGCCGTTTGCCGTCCACGGGTGTGCGTGCCGATAGCTAGACCACCCAACGAGGCGCGGCACGCCTTCCGAGGTTTTGAATGGTTTAAAATCGCGTCAAGTCCGGTCAACGCCGTCGGGCCTCAGGCTCCGCCGAGACGACACCACGCGCCCGACCTCGCTGAGGCTTATTGCTTCCCTTCTGTTACATCCCCAAGCACTGCAGCAAACGCCCAGGCGCTCGGCCAGAAACGTTGCCGGCGTCCGGGCCGAATTCTCCAATGCCGCGCCGGAGCATTCCGACACCGACGCGGCAGCAGCATTCCGAACGCTTCGACACCAGGGTGTCGAACACAGACCGCCAAGTTCGGCTCCAAGGGATGACCGCCGCGGGTTGCATCCCGCCAGCCTGCGCGCACCAGAAATCGAACAATCGCCTGCCTCCCCCTCCCCCCCAGCAGCCCGCCTCCCTCCCCCCCCTTCCTGTGGGAGACCGAACCGCTAAGCAAATGTACATCCCGACCTGCTCATGTCCTGGAAGAACTTCCGAGTATGCTTCGACCAAGTCACACACACATATGTACCGCAGCTTGAAAGCCCCTTGATATTTTCAATATACTTGCTTGACACAAGTCAGCGATGATTCCCACGCTCGTGCCTGTGATCGCGCCCGTCCCGTCAGCCCCTCTCGTTCTCCCCCCGTGCCTCCGAACAACGCAACCCCGGCGCCCCCCTGCCGGCCCTTGATGCACTGTCGGCACCCAACTGTAATATCTATACATTGGTCCAAGTCTACATGCGCAACTTGCTCCAGTACTCCACCCACCCCCCGGCCCCCACGGAATGACGAATCCACGAATTGAAAATCGACGAATCGACGAAACGTCAAACCGAAGAAACGGGAGGGGGGTGAGTATGCCTGGAGCTCGCCAGGCGTCGACCAATCGTAGGGTGCAAATCAAGTGATGATCATGTCGGCTGGCTACTGATCGACTTCGTTCAAAGCTACCCCGTCCGCAACTTCCTTCCCCTTCGTCTTCTCGCCCTTGTGCCTCCATCCGCAGCAGGCGCCCCAACACCTCAGGGGCCTCCCCAGGATGTTGCCGCCGTCGACCAAGTTGAGGCCAAAGGCGATGAATACGAAGCCTGGGCACAGGGGAGTGCGGCATCAGATGCGGGGAACAAGTGGGCCGTAGTATATTCCACCCTTCCGCATTGCAGGCCAACGCTTGGCCATTTTTTGCGGAGAAACAGTAAAAACAACAATCTCAAAATTTGGCGGGGGCAGCGTAAACGAAAGACAAACAATTCTCTGAAAAGAAATGCGCAGCGGAAAACGTGACGATAGAACTGTTTGATGTGGAAGGGTGTCGAGAAATAGGACAACGTTACTTCCCCGATCCAATCTTCTGTTTGCACGCCAACATGTGATGCATTACTCATACTTGAGGTTCGTAAACTCGTCACGGCTGCGCTGAAGGTGCATGATAATCGGCAATTGATATGATGCATATACATCATATCATCATGCATCATGCCACATATACATCATATAGCATATATGTATGTGTATTACACATACATACATCACATCATATATACGTTATATATGATATAGATGATGTATGGTGTGCGCATAATGTTGGCATTATGCGCCACTGCCGGCAATTGATATGCTGATGATGATATTGGCACAGAGCGAAGCGGCGCATGGACAAGTCGATGCGGTGCCTATTGACGGCAGCCCAGACTACGAGCCCATTGCGAGTATCCCGAGAAGTACCATCACAAGCACAGCTGTGGGTTCAGCCCTAACTACGTGCCCAGCTACCCGTATTCCAGATTCACCTTGAAGCAACAGGAAGATGGAGAAAGTTATGCGGTGCACGTAGAAGATGGCAAAGACGCCGGCGCTCAGTGTGAAGATGCCCATGAGCATCTCGGATGTGTACGCACGGCACGTCGAGTAGATCGCCTTCAGGCGCTTCAGCTTGTCGCTGCCGCCGCTTCCCTTCTTTGAGGTCACCACCCACTCGTTGGCGCGCTGCAGATCGAAGGCACCTGTGCAATGGGCCCCTCGTCAGGCGCTGATAGAAAACGCCACGCGAAGGGCGGGTGATGTAGTGGGAGACTACCCCACTGAATACACATGCTAGACTACTGAAGCTGTGTCACACTGGAACGACAAGGGGTTGACTGCATGGCGAGAGTGGCACGCAAAGGCGCTTGGTTGCGCATGTTGCGGTTGATGTGCAAGTGGCACTGAAATAGCAATGGTGCAACAAGAGTAGCAGCAGTGATTCCGGAATTTTGGGCAGTTCAACGCGGTTGAGTGCGGAATGGAAGTCGATACTACACTGCCACAACGCACAATAACGAACTTCATTTAAGGAAGTCAGTTGACACAACGATGACATTATTGAAACAAGGGATTCGATTGTGTGTGATGCGCTATTTTTTCCAGCCAAAGCGAGCTTGAAGGACGAAAACTCTTTGACTCACCGTTCACAACAGCCCAAAGCTTCACTATGCTCATGGCGTTCTCGAACAGCACCATAACGACAACGTAGTACCACTCCTTTGGGGAGAAGATTGCTGTCGTAACGGTGACGCTCACGGGTAGATGGACCAAAGCCCACAGCGGGATGGAGACCTGTAGTTCGTATTGTGAACGCAAATCAATGAATGAAAATAGATGACAACTGTTGAATCGAAGCCCAATACGCTCAAATTGATCGATACTGCAATCTACCTATGCAATATCTGGGAAACGCCAGGGGTGAATCGACAACGAAGACTTGCAGCGTCGATCACGTTCATTTCCTGGTTGGAAAGGAAAGAAGAAAATAATGCTGGCTCTTTACCAAGCTTTGGCAAGCGCTCATGGATGTATTCATCAATGGAATCAATGGCACTGCACGCACCACAGAGGCGACACAATCTGGTTTCGTTCCAACACAGTTACGACACACTCCATGCCAGATAGCACTTCCTCCTGCCTCACAGCACACAATTAGCTGCCAATCAACTCTAATTAAAGAGGAGGCAAAAAACTGCGCAAAGCGTTCATTCCCTTGCAAGCGAAACGCTGCCGCGTGGGAGCCTCACCTCTGGCGTGAATATGGACAGAGGGACGAGCGTGCAGAAGAAGAGAAGGGCCACCATGTGGCAGGCGACCTTTCGCAGGAAGAAGGTCAGGAAGTTGAGCTCCACCTTGCGTAGGAAGGGGAGTTTAGAGGCCCAGATGGCGGCGCTTGAGCGCCTCCAGAGCTGCACGGGGCCGCAGCTCCACCTGTGCTGCTGCTTGCGGTAGGCGAAGTAGGAGGCAGGAAGCTGAGAGGGGACACACGGGGAAAGAGCCTCAGGATTTCTCAGGGTCTGACAGGGAGCGAATTGAGCTGGGTCGAATAAGAAACAGCTTGGTAACTTAATCAGAACATGGGGAAAGAGGGTGAAGCAAGGTTCTGCACCGGGCAGCAGAGGATGGGGCACATTTGATGGCCAGCACAGCAGAGTAGTGACTGAAAATAAGTTGCGATACTTCAGTGGCTCGATATCGATCGCGTGCACGAACAGTGGCATGTATCGTCACTGACACTGCCCGCTTGCAAATTAAAACGGAAAGCAACAGGAATCACGTGCGGTTGTATGTTGTGGGAAGGAGCCGGAAAAGCTACGAACGGGCAGCTCAGAAGGGGGTTCAGGAGTTGAATACGGTGCTCCAGCGGATGGAAACGTATTGTGTGATGTGCATCTCAGTGCCAGGGAATACAATGCCAAAACACAGGCAGAGCACAAAGCGAACGCTCGTTGTTGCAGTTGACCACTTATCAACCTGGATGGCATGGGAGGCGCTTCTCTCAAGGGTTACGTTCCATCCAACAAATTTGATGCTGCGTCAGCGATGGGCGCATTCCTGGGTGCCATCGCCATCACGATGGTCGTAGAGATGGGTTCTGCTTCATAACGGAGATTCAACCCAAAGCATTCAGCTTCGGCGTGGGTTAACAACAAGCATCCAACATGGCAAGTGCGTCATGTCGTCGTTACCTCATTTAGACAGGTGATGTTGTCCAAAAATATGGCTCTCCATCCTGCAATGTAGGCGCGGAGGGACAGGTCCATGTCCTCCACGGTGGTCCTTGCGTTCCAACCTCCAACATCCTCGATCGTTTTTCTCCTCCAAATCCCTTTGAAGGACAACAAGCACAGGAAACTTTCAATTCACAAAAAATATCAATGTGTCGTTAATTACATCTCCAAGTTCACTTCAATCTGCACTGTGAGCGAATTCGTGCTGATGCTCGGGGGCATTATGCACAATAACCTCATTAAAATCAGCAACCAAAAAGTACGAAAACTGCTATTGAAATGATAGACGGCGTTACGTGCAAGGGCATGTACGGAAACGCACTTCCGGGGTAGAGCTCACGGTATGGGACAAGCAATTAGCTAAACTTAATGCCAAGTGCCCCAATCAACAAGCCGCCACCATTGAGAACCAGCATCGGAGTCAGAATGTCGATCACCAAAACGGAAATCCGTACCTAAACGCACGAACACAAACACAAAAAATTCAAATGCAAATGCGCATAAGTGCAAACAAATATCCGCACCTGCAGTTCCGTTGAAATTGAAAAAAGACCCGCTGGCGAAGTGCACCCACTGCTCGCACTTCACGTGATAGTTGAGGGATAGCTCTTGAGCCTGCAAATCAGGCGGCAAGTGGTCAGTTAAATCGTAGAGAGGTATTCAGTCAAAAATCTTACAGAAATCTTGTCAGCATGCAGAAATTCTGCAAGCAGGCACATCCTCATAATGATGGCATTCAAGTGCACTCTTTTGAACGTTCGGGCGATGTAACTTTTTCAAGGCAACATGAAATATACGGTGAACATAGGGTGCCTTCTTGTAAGGAAGAGCATACACTTTCAGTGAAGCCATATCATCCAAAAGGATGACAAAATAATGGCCACGTCATGTCTCACCTTGGTAAGAAGGGACTCGTCCGCGTTGGTGAAAGTCCAGCGCGCTTGAACGTAACCCACGTCATCGTTGCTGTGAATATAAGGAATCATCTTGAGCTGCAGACAACAGTCGCGGGTGTCAGGTCGCTCGAGGCAGCGCTGGCTTGAACATCCCGAAATCGATCACAACAGCAGGCTTCCATAAACGGCCTGTGCTTAATTTGCCAACGGTAACGTGTTGTGCAAAACGAGCTCTGCAATAGACAACAAGCTGTGAATCTATGCCGAAAGAATCCAAGCCAAATCCGTGCGTATACTGCACTGATCATGCATGATGTTAGCTTGCATTGGCAATGACGTGTGCATCTTGTGCTCACCAGAAAATCTGATTCGGGTCTGAAATCTGCATCAAAAATGGCCACATACTCGTACTCCCTCAATAGCTCAAGCCCCTGCAGAGAAAGCACACATCCGCATCAGCTACAAAAAGCGGAGATGAACCAAAGTCACCAAGAAACGTTTGAATCATGAACACAGCAATCAATAGGGATTCCAAATTCAACTGAACTTACACAGAATGCATGTGCATAAAAACAGGAAACATTGGTATGCGCTGTGGTAGCAGGATTGCCTGCATTTGTTTGTGTCTCTCAGTGTGGGGTCTTGAACTCCCTTGCTCAACTGAACGCAGCTAAAAAAACTGGTTCCTCGTTTTCGGTGGGGATTCTTCAGCGTAGTTGATCAGGAATGACTGATCAATCCAAGCACAATCGAAACACTGCTTTCTTGGCACATTGGCAAACACAAGCGCCGAGAGACAGTGCCGATTGAGACCCGCAGTTGCGACACCTTCCAATTAGGCCTTAAAGGATCAACACTCAAATAGGAGCAGACAGCTCCAGACTGCGGGTGGTGGGCAACTTGGGGTTTGGTTCAATTGCAGCTACTTGTAGGGAATTGGCAGGAATGCGAAAAGGGCAAAGGGATACCGCAACGCGGTGAGGCAGCCAGAGCACATCGACATGGCGGACGCAGCCCTTTGGAGTGTGCACCAGATGACTGAACGGATATTACAATCGCCCGTCATCGCCGACTTTGGACCTGCTGGCCGCCACGTGCCGCGGCGACCGTCCACAGGCGTCCACGCCTCGAGCCTCCAACGAAACCCCTCCATTCAATCGAGCACCACGTCCACAAGGATGGGAAAGGAAATGGGGCAAAGAAGGGAGACCAACAAGGGAGACAAAGAAGATCGGTAGAGAAGAGGGAGAGCGAAGGGGGGCAAAGAAGAAAAACAAGGGAGAGAAGGAAACCACCTGGAGACGGGGAAATCAGCGGCAGCCCGCGAGCGCACCTCTTTGAGCGCGCCCGCCTTGTACCCCTGGCGGTTGGTCCTCCGGATCGTCATGACGTTCACGCCGCGCTCACGCCACTCCAACACGCTGTCGTCCACCCGGTCGCGCGTCAGTTTGTCGGTGGAGTCGTCCAGCACCTGCGGGGAAGGAAGGCGCCGGGGGCCCAGTCAGACGGGCGCACCGCGGATGACCGCCACATGGAGGGCACGTGCATGGCGAATCTCGGCAAACTGGTTGAGGGCGCGGAATCTTCGTGGCGGATTGGACCCCGCGAGCCCGTGCTGTGCGCGGCTGTCCCCAGATTGGCTTTGCGGAAGAAATGCGCGGCCCTCCTGGAGGGTTTTGATCCAAGCCTGGGGTCGGCGGCGATGGAGTTGCTGCACAACTCAATTGGGCACGGCCGCGTGCACAACCGAAAGTTCCACTGTATTCCCAAGGCCGGGTTCGCGAAAAAATCGCGCAAGCCTCCTGGCGGGCTTTGGTGCACCCCGGTGGCCAGGGCGGATGGATTTTCTGAAAAAACACCGTGGGGACCGGCGTCCCATGCGCTGTCGCGCATCCCATGGCGGCCGTCCGTGCACCCCACGGCACACGTGCCAGGTTGCGCTGCGTGGGACCGGCCAAGGCTGTGAGCGCTCCCGCCCGCCGCCGCTTGGGGTGCGCGCAAGCGGCTCATCGGCCCCCCTTCACCGAGCGACGTTTCTCCCGTGCCTCGCTTTGCCCACCGAGGGTTGATGCATTTGCGCGTGTTGATGCAACGACTCGTTGCATGCCCCCGCGCCGCGTCCGTCCTGTCCGCCAACTCGCCCTTCGAATTTTCCGACCGGCGGTTCAGCCGGCCGCCATCGTCAACACTCACAAACACCTTCGCTCATCTTGGCGACATCCCCCCCAGCCGCCCGCCCGCCGGCCATCCCCATGCGCATCCCCGCCGCAGCATGGAATCCGGATCATCATGCATCCACGCGGGCGGCGGCCAATCCGCATGGATCCCCGAGAGAGCGCGCGGCACTCGCCTGGACTATAAGCTTGTCCCGCGGCCACTGCAACGAGCAGGCGCAGTCCACGATGGTCTGGCAAACCATGCGCTCGTTGAACATGGGCAGCTGGATGGCCACCTTTGGGTACATGTGGCCGGCCTGGGCCATATCCGGCATGGCCTGGCAGCGATACGCCGCTTCAGGTCCCTTGCCCGTGAGCCAGGCCACCAGCTTGAGCTGCAGGTAGTGCGCCACATGGAGGAGGCGGTCCACGGCCGTCAGCAGCGACAGAGCCACGCCCACCGTGATGGCCGCCTGAAGCACCGTCACGTAGATATCATACAGCGTCGCCGCCCATATGAATCCCCCCGCCATGGCGCCTCCTCGCCTCGGAAGCCTCGCTCCTCCGCCCGCCCGTGCGTGTGTTTAATTACGCCGACCCTTGGAGGTGCGCATCACTGCCTGGGGGGGTTTAACTCAGCGGGAGCTGTTGCGCCCGGTGTGAAAAAGGGATTGGCAAAAACGCGCTATGGTGGCAGTGGGGAAGTGGGGGGTAGGAGGGCCAAGCGGGTGGCGCGCCCGACTCGCAGGGGTGGCGGAGGTCCGCGAGGATGCGCGCCCCAACCTCAGGTTTCCCCCCCGCTTGGCCTGCCCTCCTATTTCCCTCTCGGCCCGCCGGCGGGGCGGGTCACTTTGTGTCCGGCGCTGGGAACCCGGGAAGGACAGGTCCGATGGCTGGCGGATCACCTGATTGTCGTCAGGTCGCGTCAGTGGGAACGTTGGGCGGCCTGGCGGGGAGATCATGTGGCTTGCAGCGTCGGCTGGCGGGCGGGGCGGGGGAAATGACGGCGATTCGGGACGTCACATCGCCCACCTGCGAGGATTGGCGCCCGGCTGCCAGGATGCAACCCTACGTCGCGTCATGTAGCGAAACCCGTGGCCATGAGGTTTGGGGCCTGTGGCGGGGAGTTTCGCGAACGGGGCGGAGAAGGGGGGGCGAGTTTTGGGTGGTACAAGTTCACGCGGGCACC